AAAATAAGCACTTTATATATATACATACAACTTTCCCCAGAACTTTAATCAAACATACTTAATCACATCTTTGGACAGTGAATCAAGCATGCTTATTGACACTGGAAAACGAATAGATGTGAATTTCCTGAGCAAAAGATCTTCTACATCTTTAGACAGAAGAAAACCTTTCACTAATCCATATCTATCCATGTCCCATGTCGATCCACCATGATGCAAGACATATCAAACAGCTTACATCTTTAGACAGAAAGCCTTTCGACATGTTTTGCATCATGGTGCAAATTCTGATCATAAAACCTTGAATACAGTGATCATACAATGGTTGAGTCGCTTTGGCTTACTCAATCACTGCACAATAACTGTAAGCAATGATCTGTAGAAACCGTCAAGAACATGATAAAGTTCATACTTTATACTGTTATCATGTTCATACTTTATAACTTAAAAAAAACTGTCAGTTATTTCTCTTAATTTTCCTGCACGAGTTTTGTTAGGTAGAACATGATATAACTCATGCTCTGATACCACATGTAAATACTTTAGAGCTATAACACATAGAACACTAACCTGAATCCGTCATGGTGCTGGAGCAGATCTGATGATGCTGAAACAGATTGGCTGCGCAAGGAAAGAAGGTAAAGAAGCTCTTCTCCTTAGAAACCGATCTTGATAGCTATAACTCTGATGGGTGAATTTTCTGATTAGCTTTTGTTGTGTATCGGATCTAGGAGGGAGCCTTCTATTTATATGCATCTCTCTAAGTGTCTTGCCCATTTCGGATCTAGGAAGGAGCCTTCTATTTATATGCATCTCTCTAAGTGTCTTGCCCATCAAGAAACACTTAGAGATATCCTTCATGCTATAGGTTTAATCTGTTCCAATCCTTGTAGAACTCGGAACCCTTAAGCCTTCATTATCCTTCTTAAACACTGTTTAGAGGCTTCCTAATCGAGATAGGTTTTGAGTCCCTGATAAACAATGAGTCTTTGCAATCCTTAGTTGATTAGAAGATCACTTCAGTAGGTTTAATGTAATAAACCTTCTTACAAATCACACACTGAAGTGTTTGAAGAAAGCATAGTTTGATATTGTATTATTTTTTATGAATATTGTATGATGTGAAAGTGCCAGCAATATGCATGAATTCCAAAGCGAATCCGCTTTACATTCGTCGAAGTGGAGTAATTTCTTATGAATCTTGTAATTTGTCAAATATAACTGACAATTCAATTCAATTAGTATACGCAATTTGCCTCAAATATGTTATAGACTTCTATAAATCTTTCGTGACTGGTCAAGCTAGTAAATATGTATAATAGCTACATTTTTGGTCCACATCGAAATCAGGTTCAAATATCAACCAGGAGAGATAAATGTGTTATGTCTTTCACCCTCTCCAATCAAGCTAGTATATTTTATGGTTCTTGCCTGTCCAAAAAGCGGTTAACTTGTTCCATCTAGTTGCAAATAGGCCTAAACATACATTACCACTTTTTGGTCCCGCCACTTCCATTTGCTGGTAACATGGATCCACTGAGTAGCTAGGCTTGCCTAATTATACTTGTGTTCTAATTTCTTCTTTTTCGTCTTAAATATGATTTCTTTTGTTTAAGCATTTGATAATTGTAACTTCTTTTAGTCATGACGTCATAAGCAATTCTCTTTTTGCAACTTCTCTGGGGCTGTTTGATAACTCCGCCAATGTGTCAATAATATTTTCATTCCATTTGCATCAATAACACATGAAAATTTCGGCCCGTACATAATCACCACATGAACTTTTTAATTTTTAATTTTAACCACTTGAACTTTTTAAACTATTACAATTCCTGAACTTTTTAATTTTTATTTTTAACCACTTGAAATTTTTAAACTGTTACAATTTATCACCTACATCTAACTTTGTTAAAGTTTCCGTTAAGTCACTATAACTAAAAATATTTAAAATTGTATAACTATTTTTTTTAAAGAAAATAAAAAACTACACAACAATTTTTTTGTTTTGGAAGCATATATTTCTAATTAGAAAATTTAGCTTTAGCTCAACAAAAACTTTAGTAATTAGGATTAGTTTTAGGCCTTACTCAAAGTGATTTTATATTTTTGTTGGTTTTACGTCAATAACTGGCCCATGTATTATGGGCTTTGTTAGTCTGGGTTTAGAAAAGTACAACTTTGCCCTTATTCACCTAAAAGCGGTATATATTTCCAAAACTGTAGGTTTCATTCATTTTACTCATGTGTCTGTTTTGCGTCGTTGAGCTCTATTCCTCTTTTTTTTTTTTTTTCTATTTCTTATACCGATTTCACATAGCTAATGAGTACGATTTTCCTGTTCCCTTTTTTGTGCGAGTTGAGGTTCTTAGTGTGCGATCGTTCCATGTTATTGAATTTTTTCGATTTCATGTAGGAAAAAAACATGGGCTTGTTCATACGAAAAATTTTTAGAAAAATGAAGAAATTCAAAATCAGAAAATTGGACTTCAAATATGAAAAATCATGCTTGAGCATCAATTATACAACAAAAATGTCTTTTTATGACACAGTTTTAATGACTCGTCGAAAATCCACGTCATTAAATGTCATTATCTATGACGTATTTTAAAGAGTGCTGCTATTTCCACCCACCTGTTCTATTTTCCCACCCATCTTATCTTTAAATTTTTAAAGATAAATTTAACCTTATTGTAAAATGACTTAAGGAAAAAGAAAGAGAAACAAGGTATGCTGTCATAACCAGAGAAACAATAGCATATGATAATGATTGAACTTGGTCTCTTTTAACAAATTTGAGGGTGAGACATGTGAATTGGGTGAGTACTATTGTTTTTCCCTTATCTATTTGGCTTTGTACTCTTTGACATTTCCATGTGTTTTGCATGGGTGTTTTATATATATATATTTTTACTGCAAAGTTCAGTAGATTTATGGTCCTTGGATAACTTTGAAGAAAGAGTTTATTTACAATACTAGGAAGCTAAGAGCATAAATATGATTATATTCACATATCCATATTTACAACAAAAAAAAAAAGAGGATACAACAAAAAACAGTTTTAGTTTGTATAGTAAACATGAAAGAGAGAGATGAAGCGTGAGAGATGGAAAATAAGATACAACAAAAATGAGAGAGAGATGTGTGGTGTGTTAGAGAGAGAAGACATGAGCAGAGAATAAAAGGAGGGAGGAAATGAGGTAATAATTAGAAGGTATTTTAGGAATATTGGTGGGTGAAAAAATAGGATTGTGTTTTTTAAAATCTATATGGTGGGTGGAAATAGCTGCACTCATTTTAAAACGTGTCATCGATGTCAGTTTAAAATGAGTCATCGAACTTTAGGGTTGTCATTTAATTTCCCTTTACCCGTGCTTCTGTGGTGCGTCACGATTTTTTGGAGGTGGATTGGAGCTTGCATCAATGTTGAGGTATGTATTTATTCAGATCTAAGTCTTTTTCCGAATTTTTTAGTTTTTTCTGTGTTGAGATGCTGATTGTACATGTAATTGATGTAGTATTGTATCAGTTAGGTTTTTTCCAATTACATGAATAGACGCAGGCCTTCACCCTCAATGTCAATTGACAGCACTTCAAATTGGTGTAGCAGCTAGCGAAGAATTAAATCTCTACCAAATGATATTAATGTATAACATTAACATGTTTGTTTTGTTCATTAAACCATTTTTTCTTGAGAGTACTGTTTTCTTTCTCAACCCTGCTTCTTTTTCTTTTTCTTTTTCCTTTTTTTCCTGTATTATTTGCTCTGAAAGTTCATTCAAATATTGGACTAAAGGCCTAAGGCCTAGAAAATAGTCATTCAAGTAGAGATAGAGAGTGAAAAGACAAGCGAAACCGCCAAGAACGACTTTGATGGTTAATTTATGATTACTCATTCCCTGCTTAGCAAGTCTTTGAAATTATTTATTTATTTATTCCTTTGAAGTCTTTGAAAATTAAGGTGCCCATTTTAACACGGAGGAATTCATATACTCATAGAATATTTCAATCATAGGTAAGGAAAAATACAACTGTAAATTTAAGTCATAATCACCAAATAACTTGGTCTCATTTAAGTCATAATCATTCATCCGATATAGTGCTTTCCCAGTTGTGCAAGAGAAATTTCAAATATCTTTCATAAATGTCCGCCATGCCCTTCTTCTCTTTCTATTTAGTGGTTGATAGTGCTGTCCTTGAATGGTATTTCACGTGTCCGTGTTGTGTTAACGTGTCAGTGTTTGAGTTGATATCATTTTGATGATTTGAGAGATCCATCGATGATAACTATGTGTCGGTATAAATAAAAACTGAAGAATAAAAAAGTCTTGAATAAAAAACAAAATGACGTGAACTAGACCTTTTCTTAATGTAATTTTGGAATCATATGACCAGTAAACAGACGCAATCACACGAAATCCATACGCCAAGGACTTTTATTATTTACATAGAAAGTAAAGGTAACTCGACACATACAATACAAGCATTTGCCGTCAATGTTGCTTTCCCTATAATTCAATCTGGTCTGATTAAACACCACTCAAATTGCATATTATTGTAGCAGTGGCCTTTCAATTATAGCAGAAACATTGTACGTACGTATCGATGCAGACATACCATCTTCAAGAATATCTTCCATGTCTGGCCAACAATTTCCCCAAGTCATTTGGTGCAAATTTGTTTCAATTAGATAATAGAGACGCAGGCCTTCACCTGCAATGTCAATTTATCAGCACAATGAGACCAAGAATTAAGGTCAACTTTTGTTGCAGGAGAACAACCTTACCGCGACGTTAACAGAGATAGACAAAGTCTTCAGAATGGCTGCTGTGGACTTAGTCAGACATTAATAATTTGTTATATACTTTTGGATTTCGGAATGGCTGCTGAGAAGAGAAATTACTATTCATTAAGCTTCTTATAAATATCAACATATCCAGTATAGAGTTCCTCACAACATTTTTAGTAGAAACATATATATACTTTTGGATCTTGGAAGAAAGATGGCTTGGTTGTCATGGATGTGCCTCCTCTTCATGCTCTTTAATACTTGTTCATCAGCTAACTCTTCCTCTTCTCTGTCTTCAAGGCATTTATGCCATCCTGACGATAGCTTTGCTTTGCTTCAATTCAAGAACTCCTTCTATTCTAGTAGGACTATTTTTTGGGAGAAAGGCAAGGATTGTTGCGAATGGAGGGGAGTCACTTGTGGAAAGGTGACTGGTCATGTGATCGGTCTCAACCTTGGTCTTAGTGGCCTTCAAGGCAATATCCATTCCAATTGCAGCTTATTCTTTCTTCGCCATCTCGAGAGGTTAGACCTCTCGGATAATGATTTCAGAGGTTCCCCAATTTCGTCCAAGTTTGGTGGATTTGAAAGTTTGACTTACCTTGACCTCTCTTTCTCTAATTTCAACGGGCCAGTCCCCCCCGAAATTTCCCACCTTTCCAACTTAGTTTCACTCAATCTCTCGCTACCTAATGTGAGACTAGATACTCTTAGCTTCAACAGAATTGTAAAAAACCTAACCAATCTTAGGGAGCTTAATCTATACACTGTTGACATGTCATCAGTTGTACTTGATTCCTTCAAGAATTTGTCTTCTTCTTTGAACACTCTTAGACTCTCCAGGTGCAACTTGCAAGGAAAATTTCCAGAAAGCATTTTTCGCCGACCAAACCTTCGATTATTATATTTAGGTTATAACCGTAATCTCACAGGTTATTTCCCCAAGTCTAACTGGAGCGGTCCACTTGAAACCTTGCGGCTCTCTTATACTAGAATCTCAGTAGATTGGCATCATCTGACAAGAAATTTCAAGTCTTTGAGAGATTTGTCTCTCAGAAATTGCAGTTTTGTAGGACCATATCCTGCATTACCTGGTAACCTCACACAAATCATGCAGTTGGACCTCTCACATAACGGTTTCGGAGGCCAAATTCCATGGTCGCTTCTGAAGCTTGAGAGACTCACTAACTTGGATCTTAGTGGAAACAATTATGTCGGTCAATTTCCAGAAGTTGATAGAAACTCGACATCGATCTCTTCTTTGTATGATTTTTCAGAAAAACAACAGGTGGTTCCTATTCCTCGACACTTAACCGAGCTCGATTTATATGAGAACTTACTCAACGGAACAATACCATCTTGGTTAGGTAGTTTGCCATCATTGGAGGTTCTTAGCGTGGCAAGCAACCAACTCAGCGGTGACATCATTGAATTCCAAACTAGTCATTCTTTGACACTGCTTGATTTCAGTGATAACAAGCTGCATGGCCTGATTCCAAGATCAATCTTTGAACTTGAGAAGGTTACAGAGATTGATCTATCATCCAATAACTTGAGTGGCATTGTAGAGTTGGAAAAGTTTTCAAAACTCCAAAGTCTTTCTTACCTTAATCTTTCCTCTAACCATCTATCCTTGAGTTTCCACCATTTGAGTAACAACACTTGGCCTCAACTTTCGATCCTAGCTTTGTCGTCTTGCAACATAAGTGAGTTCCCATACTTTCTAAGAGCCTCACAAAACTTGGAGACATTAGACCTTTCCCACAACAAAATTCAAGGTGAGGTTCCCAAATGGTTGTCGGATGTGGCTAAAGATTCATTGAGGCAATTGGATCTTTCTTACAACTTTTTCACAGGTGCTGTAAGACAGTTTCGATGGAAAAACCTTCGATATCTTAACCTTGGCAGCAATTCGCTCCAAGGAGAGCTTCCAATTCCACCACCTTCCACAATTTTCTTTTTCATATCAAACAACCAATTGACTGGAGAGATGCCTCCAACCATTTGCAGCTTGAGTAGACTTCAAATCCTTGATTTGTCTAATAATAAATTGAGTGGTAAAATTCATCAATGCTTAGGAAACTTCAGTCAAAGCCTCTCCGTTTTGGATTTGAGGAAGAATAAATTTGATGGCATGATTCCTATGACATTTTCTAAGGGAAACGTTTTGAGAAATCTTGGCCTTGATGGAAATCAATTGGAAGGACCCTTGCCACCATCTTTGCTCACATGTAGAGATTTGGAAGTTCTAGACGTGGGAAACAACAAAATTCATGACACCTTCCCTAATTGGCTGGAATCTCTTCCCAAGTTGCAAGTTCTTATCTTGAGGTCTAACAAATTCCATGGTGCAATAGGAAATCCGAAATCTAAGTTTCCATTCCAAAAATTGCGCATCATGGACCTCTCCCACAATCTGTTTAGCGGTCTTTTGCCAACAAAATATTTTGAAAATTTAGCTGCCATGATAAACTCACAAGAGCATGAATTGAAATATATGGGAGAGGGCTACTATCACGACACTGTGGTGGTGACAATTAAAGGCTTCGAAATTGAAATGGTGAAGATCCAAACTTTCTTCACAAGTATAGATTTCTCAAACAACAGTTTTATAGGAGAGATTTCAAATGTAATCGGTAAGCTTAAATCATTGAAGGGGCTTAACTTTTCAAATAATGAGCTTACAGGTACAATTCCACCCTCATTTGGCGAATTGAGCAATCTTGAATGGTTAGATCTCTCTTCAAATGGACTTGTTGGTGAGATTCCGGGGCAATTGACAAAGTTGACATCACTATCAAAGTTCAACGTTTCAGAAAACCAACTTGTGGGGTCCATACCTCATGGCAAGCAATTTGATACATTTGAAAATGATTCATATAGTGGAAATACAGGATTGTGTGGATTGCCACTTTCTAAAACATGTGGTGCACATCAATCACCACCATCATCATTCGGACAAGAGGGTGACTTGGAGCATGGGAATGGTTTTGTTTGGAAGGTAGTGTTGATGGGGTATGCATCTGGGGTGGTAATTGGAATATCTGTGGGATATCTTGTACTCTCTAACGGAAAACCAAATTGGCTTGTGAAAGTGGTACGAAGAAAGCAACGTCGTAGAACTGTGGAAATCACACAACGACGTGCTTGAAGAAATCGTTCCAAAAGTTTATATATATATTTTCATATTGTATATAATTTTAATTTCTTATGAATATTGTATTATGTCAGAGCACCAATAAATATGCATGAATTCCAAAAGAGGATTCTCTTTAGTTTTGTCAAAGTGGAGTAATTGCTTGTGCATCTTATAATTTGTCAAGCTGACAAATCAATTCAATCAGTACACATAATTTGCCTCAACTATTTTATATACTCCCATAAGTCGTCTCATTCCAAAAAGTAAAAGGAAAGGAAAAGAATATTGTTAAATTAGTAGAGTAAATAGCATGAAAGTAGTATTAGTCCACAATTGAAAACTCAGGGTACAATATACAAATTCGTTGACAATAAATTTTTTTTTTGTTGGACACTATGACCATATAATTGACAATACTGAAGTTGACAATGAACGCACCAAAAATAACGCTCCCTATAGCATTTGTTGGTTAGGTCGAAATGAAAGTTTCAATGGTCCACAATGTAAGATGATGTTTACTTTGTATGTGACGAGAAATTATTCGATGTTGTGTTATATAGATGGCCGTAAACATAAACGAGGTCAACATAAAAATAAAAACATGAACAAGTGTCAGTCCAAAATGAAAAGGCCAAACGGAATTTTTGGTCTCCATAGTTTCACTCTTTTTTTTTATACAAGCAAAATTAACTGCTCTTAATCACCTGCATATAGGTGGGCAGGTGTGAGGTTTTTTACAAAATGTCTTAGGCTCAGTTTGGGATTGCTGTCACTTAAAAAAAAAGTTGCTTCTGCTGTGCTTTAAAAATAATTAGCTGTAAAGTAAAGTAGCTCCATGTTTGGTAAACAATATTTTTAAAGTGCTGTTAGTACAAAAAGCAGTGTCAAAACCGTTTGGTAAATTTTAATATAAAATTGTTGTAAATGTAAATAATGACTAAAATAGACAGGATGTTAAAAGTGTTGTGTACTAATCATGTGGTGGTAGTGGTAGTAAAATCACTTATGGAAAATGCTTTCCCTCCTTACCATGTAAGTAGAAGCTCCTAAATTCCTACCAATAGCAACGTGACATGTGTTCATAATTTTTTATTTTTGTGTTTTTGATGAATTATTTTGCATATGTGTCAAATTGTGATTCGCAAGAATGAGTAATATTTCCTTACAAGTAGAGGCAAGCAGTATCCATCACTTAGGGCCAGTTTGGCTACTAAAATTGTTGTTTGTACAAAAATCAGTTTCTGAGTGTTTGGTAAAATTTTTTGTGAAAGTGTTGTGGTATGTGTATAATGACTAAAAAGGACATAATGTTGAAAATGAATTTTTCTCTCAATTGTTTAGTAGCATTTTTACTTTGACATAAACAATTCTTTTGTCAAATATATTTCTTAACCATCACACCCAAAAAATTGTTTCGATCATAAATTAAACAGAATATCATGTTGAAAATTAAATATTTGTCCTTGAATGCTCTAAACTATTTGTCTTTGAAGTACCATGTTCCAAATCAATATATCATTCACCTAAATGCCCCAAAAAAAACGATTCAAAGGAGAAAGTCAAGAAAATTCAGAAAAAAAAAAACATAAACATTAAGAATAATTACAGCAAAAAAAAAAAGGTACAAAAAAAATACTTGTAAGGGAAAGGAGGTAATTGCTGCATCCTGTCTTATCTATGCCACTCCTGGAGAATGAAAAAAGCACACCCACCAAGGTATTTATTTAAGGGAGATTCACTATTATACCCGATATAGGAGCTAAAATTATTATTTAAAAAAATCCTATATAAAATGGACTTTAGAAACACACCCAAAGTCCATTTACAACATAACAAAAAGATTTTTCACTTCTTTTAAATTACAAAACTGCCATTGATTTCTTAAAATAAACCCAACTCTAAAACCTCATAAAAAAGCCCAAAACACTCAATAGGACATCAAAGTAATTTAATAATTAAAATTAAATTCAATAGTGCCAGCTATCATTTTTTGAGTTTTTTTTTTGTTTGTTTATAAAAATTAAATGGTGTATGATTTATTTATAGTTTTAGTGCTAAGAATGGGTATATTACTAAATATCTCTTTATTTAATTATTGAAGAGTGAAATGATAACGAGTGAAGAGGAAAAAAAGAAGTGGACAGAATGGGTGAATTAAAGATTGAATGGAATGAAGGGATATGTGACGTAAATTGTAAAGAGACATAAGGATAGTATAGGTATTATAAAAATATTCATTAACTCACACCGGTTTCGCATCTGATTTCCATAGAAGTGGAAATTGAAAGCAGGTGCCTACCCACTTCTCCAAACTGCTGTATGTGGCATCAATTTCCTCCAAAAAGCAGGTTTTTTCTCTTTTACCAAAAGGTATGGATATCCAACACTGTGAAAGGAAAGTGATTATAGCTCAAAATAAGTAATGACAAACAGGCATTTATTATATGTTATACTTTGTCAAGTTAATTCGCATTCTTCGTAAAAAAAAATTCCGGTGGATTTATCCCTTAGCAATCAAGGAAAAGATTCTTTTCTGGTTAAGATATATTTTTTTCCTAGCTTTCCTACATTTTCCATAAGGTTCGAGTGGGGACGTTTTATTCAATTTTATGCTTCAACATAGAGCTAGGTTCTTCTGTACATTATAGGCTTTAAGACCGCCATTGTACCCCAAAAGAAAGAGCCCACCATTGTAACTAAACAAAGGTTGTGTGTTCGGCTAAAAAGTCTACCACGTTGTGGCCAAGAGAAATGGAAAATTAACTTTGGGATTTTGCAGTACATTTCTAAAGGAAGAGGATTTCTATTTTGCACTCAATCCATTGAATTTTTGTTTATATTTTTTTAAGAAAATAACAGTTATACTCATCTGTATCCAAAAAATTAAAAATTAAATATGTTGGATACCCAAATTGTACAACCACCAAAACTCTCTTTGGCTAACTCTCTAATCCTTAACTCACCCTTTTCTCTAACTCCATAATCCCCAACTCACTTAAAATCTTGTATTCATGGAGTATAATGGAGTATCAAATTAATTACCCTCTAAACCATTCTTATGAGAATGATACTTCTACATTTTGCACGTTTTTTAGTTCTCAAAATCAAAAGTAAAGGATTGGACGGATACAGGAAAAATGGGGACATGACAATTGAACTAGCTAATGAGGTTCTAACAAGCTTTGACAAATATTATTTATCTAAAAAATTAGTTACAGAGTTTCTTCCTATTTTTATTGAAGTCATATGCAATATGGTCTCACGTAGCAGGTCCTCTTCAATTCAATTAATGGATGATTGCCCGCTAACCACCGAAACTTTGTCATGATCGTGAAAAATATAATCAAATAAAAACTACATGCCCAATTCAATTTTAAATTTGCTTTAGATTTTACATTGGGTGGGTTCCAATGGGAAAGAGGTGAAACAGAGGAAGGGAGAAGTAAGGGCTGAGATCTTAGGCTCCGTTTGGTGGTATGGACTGAACTGGTTGGGATTGGACTTAAAGTGTTAGATTGGACTGACTTGGATTGGGCTAGACTTCAAGTCCTATTGAGTTGTTTGGTAGAGCACTAGACTGGATTGGACTTAAGTCCAGTCCATTGTTTGGTACAGGGCCACACTGAAAAACATTGGACTTCATTTTTTTTCTAATTTCAAAATTAATTTACTGTTTATTAGATTATTTAACATCATATAAAAAAGATTATTGAGTTATAAAATAAAAAAATAAAAAAGAGATTGGGTCATGAACACTCAGAGAAAAAAACTACAATAGGAACTGCAATTTATTTTTTTTCGGTTACAAGGAGGGCCGAAGCCCAAGAAAAAACCAAAAAGCAAAACTACACTGGGACAAGCCTAGCAGTGGTCATCCTAACAAAGTCATTTGCCAAGAGGCTTACAATAGAAGGAGGGGAAGATCAACAACATCATCTCTTTTGCCAATAGGAACTGCAATTTAGAAACAAACAGAACCCATCATCTCTGATCAAAAAAATAAATAAAATACAAAACCCATCATCGTAAAGAAAAGAGACAATGAATTACAAAACCAATATTTATATATATATAAAAACATAAAATTCTGATTTGAATTCTCAAAGCCTTTGATCCATGGCTTCTCGTAGACAGTGAGAAGAGACAAGAGACATGAGAAAAAAAAAATTGTATAGCAAAACAAAGGTAATTCGAAACAAAATGAAAAGAATCCAGAGAATGAAAGTATCTTAGATATGAAAGACAACATTCAGGAAAAAAAAAAAAAAAACCAAAAAACCATAGATCTCGACCTCTAACCCAGAAAAAAGTGATGGCAATCATCAAAACACCTCAATATTTAACAATTAAATAAAAAATTTAGAGAGAAATCTGAGATGAGAGTTGAGAGGAAAGAAGAGAAGAGAGAATCCAAAAAAAGAATCGCAGCTCCATAGATGGAATGAAAAGAAGAAAAAGAGAGCATGAGAAGAAGGAGGTGCTCGTACGCAGTGACAGCCGGAAGCGGAGGCTTCGAAACCCATGGTTCCGCTTGGGTTTATAAAACCATCATTCACTAGATTGGTATCCGATCAAAATATGAAGCCCAACCAGTCCCAGTGTCTTATCATTTTGTTCACCTTTCAATATCTGGTACATGTTTTTTGGTGAACAAAAGTTTAAGGGGGAAGGGAGGCTACCCATCCGGGGCCAGGACATACCAAAAAAGGACTTATAGAGGGGTCTTTCCTTATTTTTTAGTTTTTACAGATTACCCAACAAGAGGAATTGTCGGCAGCGAAACTCGAACTTAGACCTTGATAGCGAAGAGAACGTTCCTTACCAGCTCAACCAACCCTCATTGGCCAATATCTGGTACTTTCATTTGTTCATAATCATAGCTTTATTTTTTGAATCAGAAGTTTAGAAGAAGAGAAAGAGTGAGGATTTGAAAAGAAAGATAACAGTGGGGATGAGTAGAAAAGAGAAGATTGTTTGGTTTTATGTGCAAGAGTTAATGCTATTAATAAATT